TCCTGAGGCCTACATCCCCCATAGTTCCTCAAAGCTCCTATCAGTCTTTCCCATCTCCCAGGCTGCACAGCATCCAATCACAGTGTCCTCTGCATCCTGGGGTAGTGGACAGAGCTCTCCTCTGGGTCACTGTGGCTGTAACACAATGGCTGCAACCATTCCCCTCACTTTCTCCTCCTCTTGCCACATGGCCACAACTTTGCTGGCATCTGGGGAGAGGGAGAGAAACTGTGAATGGCGGTGACATTTCTAATGGCAGTCAATAAGTGTAGCGCTGTAAATCTCAACATAAATGTGACATAATGGTGAAACAAACAGTGAATCCTAATGATATAAATGAATGTTTGTTTCACCATAATGTCACATTTTTTTATGTTGAGATTTAGAGCGCTACACTTATTGATATATTTTGGTTTTCCACTTTCGGTAATAAGGTGCAGGTGTAGCAGCATATTTTTAGTTTAGTAGGATTCAGCGCAGGAGGTTTTCCCCATTTCTAATGGCACCTCGCTTTGTGCAACAATGAGCAGAGAGTGCTGCATGCGGACCAGGGCTGCCCATGCACAAATTCAATAGACTACTCATCTAATCTGTTATAATAACCAGTTCAAAAAGATAACCCAGTTTCTTTTACTCAGACATAATTTCCTAGTTAGTGGCTACTGAAATCTTTCTCTCTTGCGATTATATATATATATATATATATATATATATATAAATATATATTAAATAAATGGTGCAGCGCTAAATACTAGAGAACAGTTTATACACACAATATAATAAACATGCATGATATCACTCTAAGGGTGATCAATAAATACAAAAGTTCAATGTAATAGTGCGGATCATGGAGAGACTATTACATTAAACTTTTGTATTTATTGATCACCCTTAGAGTGATATCATGCATGTTTATATATTGTGTGTATAAACTGTTCTCTAGTATTTAGCGCTGCACCATTTATTTAATATATATGTTTGATTTGGAGGTTTTACTTGGTTACCTTTTCGGTGTATCAGCTGCTCACTAACGTTTTTGTGTATACACATTGATACACTTTTTGCATTTAAGTCGCGCTCACTATAACATCTTTTATTAATATATATATATATATTATTTGGAGCTCTAGGGATGAGTAAAGACTAATAAACATAAGTGGGTTTTTTTTGTTAATGTTTGTCTGTAGAGATGAGCGCGAATCGAACCAGGCGAACCGGAATTCGATACGAATTTCAGGAAAAATTCGATTCGCGTCGAATCCGAATATTTGCCTACTTCGGGTGCGCGAATCGGATTTTTTTCCCGATCAGCCGGCAAAAGTGTCCCTGCAGAGAGCTCCGCTATTTCTGACATTTCTCTGACAGTTCCTTCACATGTACAGCGGTTGAAAATTGTATCTATTAGTTTCCATTTAGGATACAGATGTTTTTCAACCGCTGTACATGTGAAGAAGCTGTCAGAGAACTGTCAGAAATAGAGGAACTCTGCACAGTGTATCTGCAGAGCTCCTCTATTCTGCAGATACACTTAAGAGGAGCTCTGCAGATAAAGAAGAAGAAGATGCGAGAGGATGAGATGAAGAAGAAGAAGAAGAAGAAGTAGGATGAAAATAAGAATAATTCCAAGCCGGCAAAAAGTGTATCTGCAGAGCTCCTCTATTCTGCAGATACACTTAGAGGAGCTCTGCAGATACACTTCGAGGAGCTCTGCAGATACACTTTTTGCCGGCTTGGAATTAATCTTATTTTTCATCCTACTTCTTCTTCTTCTTCTTCTCCTCATCCTCATCCTCATCCTCAGAAGAAGAAGAGGATGAGGATGAGGATGAAGAAGAAGAAGAAGAAAAGATGAAAAAAGAATAATTCCAAGTCCGGCAAAAAATATCAGCAGAGCCTCTAAGTTCCAAGCCAGACAAACTATTAGAAGCTCTGCAGATACCGCTGTTGACTGGTACTATTGTCCACAGGATCATTTATAGAAACTGTCAGAAATTTGGCAACAGAAATTGTCCACAGAACTGTCCTTCTTCTCATTCCTTCTCCTTCTTCTCATCCTTCTTCTCAAACCTTCTCCTTCTTCTCATCCTTCTAGTACTGTCAGAAATCTCATTTTGACTTCACATCATACTTCTTCTCATCCTTCTCCTTCTTCTCATCTTCTTCTTCTTCTCATCCTTCTCCTTCTCTCATCCTTCTTCTCATCCTTCTTCCTCATCCTTCTTCTTCTTCTCCTTCATCCTTCTCCTTCTTCTCATCCTTCTCCTTCTCTCATTCTCCTTCTCCTTCTTCTCATCCTTCTCCTTCTTCTCATCCTTCTCCTTCTCCTTCTTCTCATTCCTTCTCCTTCTTCTCATCCTTCTCCTTCTTCTCATCCTTCTTCTATCCTTCTCCTTCTTCCTTCTTCTCATTCCTTCTCCTTCTTCTCATCCTTCTTCTCCTTATCCTTCAGCCTTCTTCTCATCCTTCTTCTCATCCTTCTTCTCATCCTTCTCCTTCTTCTCATCCTTCTCCTTCTTCTCATCCTTCTCCTTCTTCTCATCCTTCTCCTCTCCTTATCCTTCTCCTTCTTCTCCATTCCTTCTTCCTTCTCCTCTTCTCATCCTTCTCCATTCTCCTTCTTCTCATCCTTCTCCTTCTCCTTCTTCTCATCCTTCTCCTTCTCCATCTTCTCATCCTTCTCCTTCTCCTTCTTCTCATCCTTCTCCTTCTCCTTCTTCTCATCCTTCTCCTTCTTCTCATCCTTCTCCTTCTTCTCATCCTTCTCCTTCTTCCCATCCTTCTCCTTCTCCTTCTTCTCATCCTTTCTCCTTCTCCTTCTCCTTCCTCTCATCTCCAAGGGCATTTAAATTAAAGGTACAGTGTTCTGCACTAATTTAAAAGGCTCTCTGAAGCCTAGAAACCCTTTTTATAAGTTAACTTCGTAGCGAATTAATTCGCATCGAATCGAATTTCTTCCTGAAATTCGGCGAATCAGCCGAATCGAATTTTTGAATAATTCGCTCATCTCTATTTGTCTGAATGACTGTGGTTTTGGGTCTAATTGCACACATTGTAGAAGGCAATGGAACTAAATTGCAGTGATTTAATGCAGAGATTTACATACAACATCAAAAGATGCTGTCCTTTTTTGTTGTTACAGGTGTTAGAGGTACTTGTCAGTGCCCCCATGTTTATTTATTTTATTACATGTACTTATATAGCACTGTTAATTTACACAGTGCTTCTACATATATATTTGACATTCACATCAGTCCCTAACCCTCAAGGGGCGCACCATCTAAGGTCCCTAACTCACATTCATACATAGACATACTAGGGACAATTTAGACAGGATCCAATTAACCTACTGGCATGTCTTTGGAGTGTGGGAGGAAACCAGAGAAAACCAACACAGACAGAGGGAGAACATGCAAACTCCAGGCAGGTGGTGCCGTGGTTGAGATTTGAACGATCAACCCTAATACTGTCAGGTGGAAGTGCTAACCATTTAGCCTCTGTGCTGCCCATGTTGAATGAACATAGAAGGCAGCGTATTGTTTCAGGACAAGATCATAAGGAAGTTTGCCAAAATGAAGCCTCACTTTGGCATTTTGTAAGAGAGTCAGTTTTCTTCAGAATCTAAGAAACTGACTGTCCTTTTAGGCCTACAGAGGGGGAAGATGGAGCCATTATTGCCATGTAAAGGGTTCTCAGAGAATCTCCTACAATTACTCTTCCTCCAAATATAAACTTTTGGTTCACTGTAATTTAGTGTGTCTCTTAGGAACTTTGATTTTCTAGTGTGAGTGACTTAATTTTCAAGATCATTCAAACTAGGATTGCTCCCCTTCCCTTCCACCTCTCATTTTCAATCATGGAGGGCTTTGAATTGAAGAAAAAAACTAAATGAGGAGGAGGTTCTTTAAAGGGGCTATGATTGGTTGAATGGTGGCCAAGCTTATCAATTTGCTTAGAATGCTTCAAGTGAAGCATTTTTAAAAGCTGAATTTAGGAGAAGAAAGGGTCATAGGAACCAGGACACCCAATCTGTACCCTTTGTGACTTAATGTAGTTTAGAGTTTGAGGAGATCAAACAGGTCATACGCAAATATCTACCGGTATTGAATGCAGATGTTTAGTTAAGAGGATGCTTCCTTCCATAGCTCATTTTGAGAAAGCACTGACTATTGGGAATATGCTATTATCTAGTCAATTTATTCTAAAAAAAGAATACTTGGTTGAACGCAATGGGGTAGAATTACTAAAACTGGTGCACACAGAATCTCATGCAGCTGTGCATAGCAACCAATCAGCTTCTAACTTCAGCTTGTTCAATTAAGCTTTGACAATAAACCCTGAAAGTTGATTGGTTACTGTGCATGATGATCTAAGTTTCCATATTTTAGTTGGAATAGAGTTTTTTCTGTAGTTGATATACATTTTTTCTATGCTTACATTATTTTTTATTATGCCCACTTTTTGAATATATGTATATACAGTAATTTTTGTTACAGGTACACACATCTTTAAATTTCATCATACTGTTGTTGACTTTTAGGAGCATGTGTCTTTAAGACCATGTTTAATTTGTGAATGCTATTTAACCACTAGTCTATTGGGCACTTATGCCCCTTCCTGACCAGGCCAATTTTCAGCTTTTAGCGCTGTTGCACTCTGAATGACAATTGCGCGGTCAAGCAACACTGTACCCATATGAAATTTTTATCATTTTTTTGAGACAGCTAGAGCTTTCTTTTGGTGGTATTTAATCACCTCTGGGTTTTTTCATTTTTTGCTAAACAAACCAAAAACAACAGAAAATTTTGAAAAAAAGAGGTTTTTCTTAGTTTTTGTTTTAAAATTTTGTAAATAAGTGATTTTTCTCCTTCACGGATATGCGCTAATGAGGATGCAGTGATGGGCACTGATAGGTGGCACTGATGGGCACTGATGAGGAGGCACTGGTAGGTGGCACTGATGGGCATTGACAGGCATCACTGATGGGCACTGAAAGGCAGCACTCATGTATGGCACTGATAGGCGGCACTGATAGATGGCACTGATAGGCGGTACTGACTGTCACAGATAGGCAGCACTGACTGGCACTGTTAGGTGGCACTGACTGGCACTGTTAGGTGGCACTGATAGGCAGTACTGATGCGCACTGATAGTCAGCACTGGCTGGCACTGATAGGCGGCACTGACTGGCACTGATAGGTGGCACTGATTGGCAGCACTGATAGGTGGCACTGACTGGCATTGATAGGTGGCACTGACTGGCACTGGTAGGTGACACTGAAAGGCAGCTCAGATGAGCACTGATATGTGGAATTGATGTGCACTGGTGGGCACTGATATGTGGCACTGATGGGCACTAGCAGGTGGCACTGATGGGCACTGGCAGGTGGCATTGATGAGCACTGACAGCTGGCATTGATGGACACTGACAGGTGGCACTTCTGGGGCTACACTGATCATCAGGGCACACTGATCATCAGTGCCCTGATGATCAGTGCACATGTCCCCTCCGAGGAATGCCGATTACCGGCTATCCTCTCGAGCTGTCACCGTGATGGCTAGTGAGGACTGAAATGCCGATAACTGGCATTTCCCTATTTACATGAGATCAGCTGTGATTGGACACAGCTCATCACATGACCGAGCCGAAATCTTCGGCTCTTTCCATTGATTTGTGATCCGCTGTGTCCGAGGGACACAGCGAACCGCCGCCGATCGCCGCGCTGCGTACTCCCGGAGCCGCGCATGCGCTGGTAGAATGGGAAGACATCATATGACGTCCTCCCAGAATGAGAACCACATTCTCCCCATTATTTCCTTATATGGCGGGCGGGATGTGGTTAAATAGGTTTCTTTACTTTTTTTGTTTGTTATGAGGGGCCTGGGAAGGGGTGTTTGCCATAATTAACTACTTCCCCATAGCACCACACTATAGCAGAACTACTGTTACAGGGCGGTAGGGCTGCGTGAAATCACGCACTACCCATGCCACCATTGGTGGCTACAGCTGTTGATCACTGGGTCCCGGCTGGAGATTTCCTGCCAGCACCTGGTGATCGCCAAGGAACAGTGAAAGGGGAGAGATCTGCGTGTAAACAACACAGATCTCTCCCGTTAGCACGAACAGGCTGCTTTGTATTGCTCTGCACAGCAGAGCAATACAAAGCAGCTTGTCTCCCTAGTAAAAACACACATAGCACATAACGTAAAACACAACACAGCATTCAATTAACCCTTTGATCGCCCAGATGTTAACCCCTTCCTGCCCAGTGTCATTAGTACGGTGTCAGTGCTTTTTATTAGCACTGATCACTGTATTAGTGTCACTGGGGATGTCAGTAGCAGTTAGTCAGTTCTGCCCAGTGTCAGAATGCCCGCTGCAGTCCCGCAGTCCCGCTATAAGTCGCTGTGATCGCTGCCATTACTAGTATAAAAAAAAATTTCAGTATATATACCGCCATCTGTAAACGCTATAACTTTCATGTAAACCAATTAATTTACATGTATTGGGATTTTTTCTTTCAGCAAAGACATGTAGCGTAATAAATTTTGGCCTAAATTTATGATGAAATCTGATTTAAACATTTTTTACTGGACATGTTTTATAGCAAAAAGTAAAAAATATAGTTTTCTTTTCAAAATTGTCGGTCTTTTTTTTGTTTCAAAATAGGTCGTTATAGCGCAAAAAAAAAAAAAAATGCAGAGGCAATCAAATACCACTGAAAGAAAGTTCTATTTGTGGGAAAAAAGGACATAAATTTCATTTGAGTGCAGCATTGCATAACCGCTCGATTGTCAGCTAAAGTAATGCCGGGCCGTATTGCAAAAAATGGCCTGGTCAGGAAGGGGGTAAATTCTCTAGAGGGCAAGTGGTTAAAGCAGTATTAAACACAAAAGCAAATTTTTATTATTCTGCAGCTTGCCAATTCTTACATGTGATAGCTGCATTTGGTTTCTATTTTAGGCTTTCTGTCTTTTATTTTCACCTAGTGATCTGGCCAGCAAGTCGGTATTTTTTCTACAAAACAAGCTCTCCTACAAATGTAGCAGTTACAGTTGAAACAAACCATTTACCACTGACAAGGGTGCTCACAATATATAGGTTTTATTTATGTAAAACCTTTATCCCCAAGAAAAAAAAAAACTGTTTACAGTAACTGATTATAAAGAATTAGCTGAGGTTTGGCTTACATTGCTTACTGTATCTAAATCTGACACCAGACTGACAAAGCTGCTGTCCAAGGTTGCCTCTGTGCCCCTTCATTTAGGCTGGAGGGGGTGTGTTACTGGCCAGATCACCAGGTGAAAACAGAGAGAAAAAGCCTAAAAAAAAATAAAACAAATCTTGACACCACATCTAAGGATTAGTAAGCTACAAAGTAATAAAAGTCTGGTTTTGGGTTTAATACCATATTTTCAGTATATGTTTCTATTAGTGTCCCTCATATAATATGATTGTTTGGGCCCTAAAAAATCTAGAATTAAAATATCTAAAGCTACAAAAAATTTTCAACTCTGTTTTTAATATATAAATAGGAGTTTAGTAATATTGTTTGCTGTCTAAACACCCGTCTCACCTTAAAGTGGTGCCTAACAATAAAATGTTATCTGCAAAGGGGACTGACTTACCGTTTTGTCATCATGATTTGAAAACTCGGCTGTACGGCAGAGATTGAGGAGAAATTTGATTCACATTAGTGTACATACAATACTTTTCTATGTAGTCCCTTTAACCACTTGCCCTCCAGAGGATTTACACTCTTCCTGACCAGGCCATTTTTTGCGATACAGCGCTGCATTAATTTAACTGACAATTGTGTGGTCATGCAACACTGCACCCAAATGAAAGTTACGTCCTTTTGTCCCTACAAATAAAAGTTCTTTCGGTGGTATATGATCGCCTGTGTTTTTTTTTTTTGCACTATAAAAAAAAGACCGCCAATTTTGAGAAAAAAAACAATATTTTTGAATTTTTGCTATTAAACATGTCCAGTAAAAATTTTTTTTAAAAAAACAATAAAATTAGGCCAAAACGTATTCTCCTACATGTCTTTGCTAAAAAAAATCCCCAAACATGTAAATTCATTTGTTTAAATGAAAGTATAGATTCTAAAAATGGCGGTATACTGTATATACTGACATTTTTATTATTTTTTTTATACTAGTAATGGCAGCAATCAGCGACTTATAGCGGGACTGCGGCGGGCATTCTGACACTGGGCAGGAACTGACTAGCTGCCACTCACATCCCCAGTGACACCAACACAATGATCAGTGCTAATAAAATGCACTGTACTAATGACACTGGGCAGGAAGGAGTTACCATCTGGGGCGATCAAAGGGTTAAATGTGTGCTGTGTGCTGTTTTACTGTGTGATGTGTGTGTATGTTTTACACAGTAAGCACACTGCTTTGTATGGCTCTGGAGAGATCTGTATTGTTTACATAGAGGTCTCTTCCCCATCTGTGATACACGTGATCGCGGGTGCCAGCAGGGAATCATCAGCCAGGACCCGCCCCTACCCGGAAATGTAAAATTACTTATATATGCATGATTTTGCACACCCCTGCCACCATGTAGAAGTATTTCTGTTATAGGGTGGCAGGAAAGTGTTTAAATGGGAACTGAGAGACTGTAGTTTGTCATGTATAAAAATAAATTCAGACATAAGCAGAGTTTATACAAGACACTGTGCCTACATTACATTTATCGAAAAGTGGCAAAAGTTCTCATAATTATATTGGATATGTTGCTTAACTGAATTTTTTAAAAGTGCTTGAGTAGTCAGACACATTTAGTTAAAATTCAAGCAGAAGGACAATTCAGTGCTTCTATACTTAGACATGAATTATTTTGTTCCAAGAAAATTTAGGATGTAGAACTAACTTAAAGGGTTTTTTCCTTTTAAAGGATTGTTTGAAGTGTGTGGCTGAAAATAATCACATATAACTGGACATATCAATAAGTATATATGTATTTGTTTACTGTACTTTACTGTGGTACTGTTTTTCTTATCCATTTTAATTCGGGCAGGGATTTGCTTCTTTTACTATAACCCTATTTAATTTAGTGTACAGAATCACGGTACAGTTAGAGAATACTGGCTTCTGTGCAGTAATGGATTCATTCAGTTTACAGACATACTCAAAGAGATGTTCTTGAAATATCCCCAATCCCTGAGTCCAAAAAAAAGGTGTAAACACTAATCTGACTGTTTCTAAATGTATTGCTTATGTATATAGTGTTAATTTTTTTTTTATACTAAAAAGCATTAGTACTGGGATGAAGATTACAATTTACTTGAGGACAAGTAAGAGAACTTTTCTATTCATGGTATTATATGAATCTGGGATCTACTAGAAGTGCCTTATATGTAATTCTCATTTGGTGCCTGTGCCTTGTAAAAAATAAGACATACATGGATGTTTCTGTTGCAGACCCCACGTTTTATGAATCATCATTATATTAAAAAAATATGCAAAACATAAAACAGACACAAAATGGTATTTATAAACTCCTAAGGCATATTTAGTGCACAGAAAAGATAATGAAAGCTTCTACAGGAAACCCATTCCAGGTTCCAGACCATTCTTGAAATTCTGCACCCATTGGCTCTTCACTCCCTGCATATAATTGCCTACTTGTTAAAACAGCCTCCACCATTTCCATTAAGCCTATAATAGTTGCATAAATTATCTGTGATTGCCTCAGTGACAGCTTCATGGAAGAGGATGATACAGGCTGCTGAGCATGTACATTTTGGAGGAAGGAATAGGTTTGTAGGGTTTTGGCAAACATTCTCATAATAGGCCCACCCTTGTACTTGGTGACAAGTGCAAAATTCACTTGCCCTGGAATTTAAAGTCTATTGTTTCAGACACATTTAAACAAAAGACACTAAAGTCAATCTGAGTGAAGAAAATTATCTTCTTTTCATAAAGATACTGGCCGTAGGAGACTTTGTACATTGTACATCCAAACCGTATATTCAACATCTCATAAAACTTACTTGACTCCAGACCCACACAAATGTAAACGTGCATGTTTATGCCCTGGTATGGTTCTACAGTTGGATGTTCACCAAAGCATTCTGCAATATCCTTCTTTTAAAAAATATACAACAAATGAGACAACTATACAGATAAATTTAAGACTGGTAGCCAAATTGTTGTGCATGTTGGTAAAAGACATTGCAGTAGCTTACCACTCCACCACATTTTCTAATTGAGAAGTTATGCTGTTTTATGATACAGCTCCATTGATTTTTTTCTAGACATAAAATAGAGTACTATGGTCACAGCATACACTTTCTTTTTATAACATCAGCATTGAAATCCAATATAACCTTACTTAAAAAAAAATCTTCTTTCATATTGTGAGTGCTGCCTGTCTGCTGGTTGTCTCTTTCCATAGCTTCCTGGATTCCCTGCATGCTCTGCAGGTTGTTTAGTGTTCATTCCTTGGGTGTACTTTGAAATTCTAAGGAGTAAATGTTCTATGATACCTTTCTGCCTGCAATCAGTGATCAATATTGTGTGTTTTAATGTGCTAACCGTGCCTCCACAAACATCACCTTTCAGGACCTCTAAAGTAGGGATGAGCTCCTCACAAGTTCAGACTGAACTTTGGCTGTTTAGGCATTCAGACAAAGGAGCAACCA